TACGGGAACATGGGTGGAGGGAAGCTGATGCAGGGATTGGTGCTCAATTATTGTACGCCTAAGTACAACTATCAATGACTTTGAAAATCCTGGCACATTAATGAGAACTTTAAAAAATAATAAAATAAAATAAATTTTCAGATTTCGGCACCCACTGAGGTTAAAGACCCTCTAGTCCCAGCATTAGGCTCCGATATATTTCCTGTGATATTGAGACCATAGATGTGGTTGTGGGGATGGAGCCAGACACCACCTTTCAAGTCGCATGCTCGGTGACTGAGCACTCCAATGGCATACTATTTAGTTTTAACAAGAAAATCCTACAGCACACTTGTATGCAATTCCCCTGTACCCAAAGCAAATTGCTGTATTGCCACATCCGGAACCTTGATTTGAGTTCTGAAATCAAACAAAATGCACAATGAGAATTAGTCCAATGTTGAATGGAATGCAGTTGAATTACCAAGCAGGTGGAGGACATCTCCATATTTCTCACAGTCCTAGCAAGCCTACAGAAAGGGAAAATCTGTGGGAAGTGTTGTTGGGAGGAGCTCGGCAATTCCCTAAAAAGCCTTTTGGGTTTTGGTTTTAATCAGACCCAGTAATGCATGGGATACCATAGGGGATACTGGACATCGAAGGTAGGCGGCATCTGTAAGGCGAGCACCCTCCGTGATGCACTGCTGTTCTGGTCCTAATTAGCTTCACTATGGGCTCACAGTCACAATTTAACATACACACAATAAAACAGTTTTTGGTGCACACAAGCTTACAGCAGGTAGGCATTTGCCTTGCATGAGACTGACAGGGGTTAATCCTTGAACACTGCCAAAAGTAACTTACGAGAACCACCAGGAATAACTGCTGAGCATCCCCAGGCCCCCCAAAAAAAGAAAACTAAATTTCTTCCCATATTCAAAAAACCATGGCAATGATCCAAAGGCAAAGATATGCATGGTGTCAGATTGACTAACCGGGGCCCAGATAGGGCAGCTGACCCTTTAGGTGTACAGTCAGGCTAGTTATAAAGCCGCTAAAACAAGGGCCTTGAAACACATGGACTACTCGACATACCTGACAGATGAGGAAGAATGAGGAAGAATGACAACAAAGTCAAGAAAGCAAAGCACAGGATCCCTCCGTAATGAACAGTTCCGGGGAGAAGAAACCCCTACCCCATGACATACCCCCACATCACATGTTCTAGGGATGAGAAGGGGACACTCAATATCCAATGAGCAACTCAAAGATGTTTTGGAATGGAGGACTCCTGGGTTGGCCACATGCAAGGCAAGCATCCTACTTTCTCTACTATTTCTCAGGTCATTTCTAAATAAATGCACGGAAACGGGAAAAAAATGGGAGAGCACTCACAAAGCTTTCAGGTTTAAGTCTCGGTCATACAATGAAACAGCGGTCCCGTCACCGTGCCCATTTTCCACCACTAAAAACCCAAGTATACCGCCATTCTACACCCTCCCCCTAACTGAGGGGCAGATAATTTCCACATTCTTAACTCTACTTTATTACATCAATATTTTTACATGAGACTCACCATTATTATGTGGGATTTTACCCTAGCACTCAAATCTGGCAAAAACACAACAGAAGATAATTCTTTATCGATTGCTGGTTATAAATAACATGATTTTGAAATTCTGAAATTTTAACAACTAAATCTGGAGGGATTTCTGCCAAAATCTGCTGGGTTCCAAGATTTGTTCTTGAGTCTCTGGGATTATGGCCATTAAACAGCATTATCACGAGCCAGAGAGGCGGTTCGTGGTAATAACATAGGCTCTTGTTAGGGAGGGGAGGAATTGGCCGGCTCCACCCCATCCTGAGAGGCCCCATGCATATTCGTGAGTGTGGCCCCAAACCTGACTTTACAAAGGCCTTTGGAGGATGGAGGCCACCGACCCGCCAAGTGGGAGCAGTTGGGGGGACAGCACCAATTACCCCTGGGGTGAACCGGGGACAGTAACCTACTGCAGGGTCCAGACGCATTTCTGCTAAAAGGCGCTGGGTTTCGAGACTTGTCTCTGAATCTCTGGGATCATGGCCATTACGCACCTTGATCACGAGACACCGAGGTCAATCGTGGGCACCAGACAACTCGGGGTTTTGTTGGGGTGGGGAAAAAAGGACCGGCTCCACCACCATCCAGTTAGGCCCTGCATTTCTCCTCACAGCAGTCCCAAACCTAACCATCCAGAAGCCATAAGAGATTGCGGCCACTGAGCCGCCAGGCACAAAACCTATTCCGACCTGAAATACCCAGCTTTGGTAACCTACTCCTGGGACCAGACACATTTCTGCTGAAAGCCGCTGGGTTCCAAGATTTGTTTCTGAGACTCTGGGAGCATGGCCGAGCGATCAAGAGCCAGAGAATCCGTACGTGGGCAGCGACTCGGGGTCTCATTGAGGTGGGGAGGAAAGGGCAGAGTCCACCCCTATCCCATTAGGCCCTGCATGTCTTGTCATTGCAGGCCCAAACCTGTCTGTCGAATGGAAGATGGTGGCCACCAAGCCACCAAGTGGGATCAGGCGGAGATACACACTCTTTCCCCCTTGTGGTGGTTCGTCACTGGTAGCTCATTGTGGGAACCGGGCACATCTCTGCTAAAAGCTGCTGGGTTCTGAGATTTGTCTCTGAGTCTCTGGGATCATAACCTTTAAGGAATTTCATCAGGAACCAGAGAGACTTTGCCTCCAATTATATAGCTGAGCCGGAAATGGTTTGTTGGTGTGTCTTACACATACCTAACTTTTGGCCGTTTACTTTCTTTGAAGACTTTGCCCAAAGTTTTTGGAGTCTGGCCAAAGGCAGAGCAGCAATTTTGAGGTATCTGAAAGTCTGATGTTGCCATCAGGCTGCTGATGCACTCGCCTTACCAGCACACATTGACCTGCTGGCAGCACCATACTCCCAGGAAGTAGAAATTCATTATATGTAAATAAAAACAATAGTGTGGTTGGACTCACTGTAAAGATAGCAGGATTCTTGCCTTGCTGATCCAGGTCAAACCTCCCTATCCCATAGGAACCCAGAAGCACCACAGAATAATTCCTGACCTGCAGAATCAGAAGTACACCTTTAGCTTCAAAGAGTCCCTTCCAACTCCCCTGAATAAAAAAAAACTTATTAAAATTAATATAAGAGGGGCTAAGGTGAGAGCAGAGCGGGTAGTCCGTTTGACTTGCATGTGACCAACCTGGGTTTGAATCCCAGCAACAATATGGCCCCCTGAGCTTTACCAGGAGTAATTTCTTAGCGAATAAACCAGGAATAACCCCATGTGCAACGCTGAGTGTGACCCAAAAAGAAAAAAAAATCCAAAGAGTAAATTTTCAGAGGCAAAGTATCTCTCACTTGTCCAAACACGACCCAAAGTCCCAACCCCAGAATGGAAGCCAATGAAAATGACCAACTGCAAAAGTCTCCCTTTCCTTTGAGGGCTGCCCGGGAACATATCTGGAGTTTCGATAAGTGTTATGTCCAGTCCAATGGCTCCAAACAGGGTCCTTCGCACTCTCGAGTAGGGAGGAATGATATGGCCAAGACCCCCACTCTCTGCAGGCTCCTCAAACCAAAGCCTGAAGTCCACGTGCCCACCACCCAGTGCAATCTTGGACCTGGATGTGATCGTGGCTGCAGGGGCCCTCAGGATAACGCACCCTCACCCATTACACCTGTGCCACAGAACAGTGTCCAATGCACACCTCACAAGCTCCACATCCTCTAAAGCCTGGATATCCAGATCAAGTAAGAAACAAGCGTGAAAGCGCACTACAAGCTGGCGTGACCTGGCACCCTGGCACTCAAGTTCGCACCGGGATTTTCAGGGCGCTCAAGCATTCCAAATCCTAACACAGGAAAGAATGAAGAATGAAGGTTTTCCTGTTTTTTTTCATTTTCAAACTATTCAATGCTGCATCTTAGTTGATTCCTGCCATAATTCCCACTAACCAGGCCCTCTGGGCCAAGCCAGAAGCATAGCAAACAACAAAAGAGTAGAGAGCCGTGACAGCTCTGAGCAGGGGCTGTTTATGTACCTGTTTATTCAGTCACCTTCCTCCTTATTTTCATCACCAGGACCCATTATTTCCAAGTTAACACACAACCAATTCCAAGCACTAGAATATTGGCATAGGGGCAGCCACGGTGAAAATCAGCAGGTACCTTTCAATGACATAAGGAGAACCTGTCCCAAGCAGGCAGGCTTACTTCCCTCTTAACTGTACTTTTTTTTAACACCCTTGACCATCGTGTCCAAAGGAAATTTGCTTGACTGACTTGTCCCGTTCTGTCCTTAGAGACTGTTATTAAGGGATCAAACCATCCAGCATGAACATTTATATGTTTATTAAAGTGTGAGGGGTACATGAAGCCCTTCCCACATTCCTGACATATATGCAGTTTGTCTCCAGTATGAACTCTCACATACTGAGTAAGAGAACAGCACCAAATGAAGGACTTCCCAAAAGACTGACACTGATAAGGTTTCCCTCCACTGTGAATATTCCTGTACTTAGCAAGGATTCAGAACGGCAGAAGGACTTCCCACATTCCTCGCATATAAAAGGATTTTCTCCGGCGTGAATGCTCCTATGTACACTAAATCTGAGGCTTCTCAAAAGGCCTTTCCACATTTCTTACACGTATATGGTTTCTCTCCAGTGTGTATTCTCCTATGTACATTAAGTATTGAGGACATACAGAGGCCTTCCCACATTTTTACATATACAATTTCTCTCCAGTGAATTCTCCTAAGTACTCTAAGGCTTGAGGCTTCAGCAAAGGACGCCCCACATTCCTTACCTATATACAGTTTCTCTCCACTGTGAATTCTATGTACAGTCAATTGTGAGGATGAAGTAAAGGACTTTCCACACTCCAGACATATCTAAGACTTCTCTCCATTATGAATTCTCATGTGTAGAGTAAGGGTAGAGAACCGTGTGAATGCCTTCCCGCATGTCTGACACTGATGAGGTTTCCCTCTGAGATGAATTTTCATATGTGCAGTAAGTCTTGAGGCTCCAGCAAAGGCCTTCCCACATTCCTTACATATATACGGTTTCTCTCCAGTGTGAATTCTGCTATGTACACTAAGGCTTGAGGCTTCAGCAAAGGCCTTCCCACATTCCTTACATATAAATGGTTTCACTCCAGTGTGGATTTTCCTATGTACACTAAGCTTTGAGGCTACAGCAAAGGCCTTGCCACATTCCTTACATATATACGGTTTCTCTCCAGTGTGAATTTTCCTATGCGCATTAAGTGTGGAGGCCCAAGCAAAGGTCTTTCCAAATTCCTTACATAGATGTGGTTTCTCTCCAGTGTGAATTCTTCTATGTACAGTAAGTTTTGAGGCTCTAGTAAAGGCCTTCCCACATTCCTTACATATATATGGTTTCTCTCCAGTGTGAATTCTCCTATGTACAGCAAGTCTTGCGGATTCAGCAAAGGCCTTCCCACATTCCTTACATATATATGGTTTCTCTCCATTGTGAATACTTCTATGTACAGTAAGTTTTGAGGCTCTAATAAAGGCCTTCCCACATTCCTTACATATATAAGGTTTCTCTCCAGTGTGAATTCTCTTATGTACACTAAGACTTGAGGCTACAGCAAAGGTCTTCCCACATTCCTTACATACATATGGTTTCTCTCCAGTGTGAATTCTCCTATGTATACTGAGGCCTGAGGATTGAGTAAAGGCCTTTCCACATTCCTTACATATATATGGTTTATCTCTAGTGTGAATACTTCTATGTATACTGAGGCTTAAGAATCGAGTAAAGGCATTACCACACTCCTGACATATATAAGGCTTCTCTCCACTATGAGTTTTCCTATGTCTATTAAGACTAGAGGTGTGAATAAAGGCCTTCCCACATGTCTCACATTCATGAGGTTTCTCTCCTGTGTGAATTCTCCTATGCATAATAAGATGTGATGATTGATCGAAGGCCTTCCCACATGCTTCACATGCAAAAGGTTTCACTCCTGAATTTATATTCATATGGTCATGATAGAGCAACCGCTGACTCACACTTTGTTCTTGGGGCTGACGTTTCTGGAGATTCTGTCGACTGTGGTTTTCTAAGGGAACACCACAGTGCTGAGAACATGGGGAGGCTCCCGCACATTCCTTACATGTAGATGGATTCTGCTCACGGTGACTGTCATTGAGGGTATGTTGCTGTGAGGGACTCACTTTAAACAGTGCTCCTCTCCCTAGCAGCTGCCGCACTGGGGATTTTGTGCCTCTGAACTGAGAATAACACACTCCAAGGAACTTTTTCCAGGAGAGGGCTTCTTCAGAGTGAGGTAGCCCTCGCCATTCTGATCACCCTCAGAAGACATCCCGCCTGTCTCGGCATCCTCATGGGGCTGAGGGCAGGAGTGCTCACACGAGACATTATTGTACAGTGCAGGATCAGAGACATTCCACTTGGGGTGGCAGCTTTCCTGTAGAACAACAGAGGATTGTAATTATTGACTTATTCACTGAGACTTCCTGTCCAAAAACTGAGCCCTTCAGATGTGGTTTCACACATATGCACCGCACAAATTCAATTACTGACATATGAATAGTTTTACTATAGAATAACTACAAGTTACTGTAAGTTGGATGCACAAAATTGATGGATGCAGAGTCAGTAAATTCTGTGACATCATCCCCTTAAAATTAATGAAGGAATACAACTGGAAACAATTCTTTCTATAGAAAACGGACGCATCCATTTCAAGAGAAAGTGAAGTACAACCTCATGTGCGTTTTGTTAAAGTTTAGTGTGGAATCTGTGCTGCAGGGGTGAAGACAACTCTGCATCATCACACAGCTGAGACAGACCATGTGGCCATTGCAAAGCTCTCACCACAAGGGATGACTTTCAGGATCAATGAAGTTTTCTTTTCTTTCTGTTTTGTAGTTTCTATTTATTGGGGGTTGTGTGGATGGAGGGGCACACCATGCAGTATCTAGGATCAGTTCTGTGGGTCTATGGTATCTACAAGGCGTGCTGGGTAAGGACCATCCATTCCTGTGCAAAGCAAGTATATTTCTCTCTACACCATCTCTAGGGCGCACAAATTAGCTTTCTAAACAACTACCACTGTCAAGCAAATCAAAACTAACCGTATTTTTATACATGGTTGATTTCAGCACCTAACAAAGCTAAGGGTCCTCTACTCCAAGCATCAGGCTTTGGAATTCCTCCCTGCCATTCTCAGGCTTCCACCTTAACAATCACATACTTGGTCCGCTCCTGCTGGCATAATAATATTTATTCTCAATTAGCGAATCTTACCAACTCACTCGTACTTGCTGACCCCATTCCCAAATCAAAGTGCTGTAATGCCAAATCCTGAAGTCGCAATTTCCGTTCTGAAACTGAACAAAACATGCAATTCAAGCACTTGTCAAAAAAACGTAGCAAAATGATGCCATGTAGTTAAGAGTACATCTCTGTGGTTCTCAAAGTCCAAAGAGTCCCACACTAAACAAAATATTTGAATAGTGGAAAACTGTGAGGATCTTGGCAATTCTACACAAGGTTTTGTTTTTGAGCAGACCTGGTATTGTTCGGGGAACCAGGTTATTTAACAAATTATTGAACAGGTCACCATCGGGCACTGCAAGGCACTCCCTGCTGTACTATCGTTCAGATCCAGCCTAGCTCTGTTATGATCTTACTTATTCGAAAGCCATGGAAGCAAATTACAGGATCATTCTGTGACTGACAGTCCAGGGGAATGAACAGCAGCGTGAGTATGGCACAGACCCAAGGATCCAGGAGACCAAGGTCCCGTTCTCAGCAGCGTGTTTCATACATGCTCAGGGCACCCATGCACTGCACAGGGCTTGAGCCAGGAAGAGTCCTCAGACACTCACCCGCACACACGCCTCTACTCCCCGACCTCAGGGCTCCTCCTTCCAGCCAGGAGATCACCGCGGGCTTCCTCCCAGAGTGCTCTGCCCCGACAGAGACAGAGGCATGGATAAATGACATGGAAAAGGTGACAGGTAAATCCCCATGTTTTCCTAATATAACTGCGCAAATATCTGAAAGGCATGAACAGAATGCCCATTTCCATAATGCCACATATTTCTAGTTATTCGAGAGGTAAGACCCAAGAAAATTCCACAAATACTCTAGAATGGGCCTTGTGGATGGCTGACAGGGGGTTGATCAGCACGGTATGTTGTTGGTTTTTGTCTTGTTTGGGGTCTCCCATGGCAATGCTCCGGGGAGACTCCTGACTCTCTGTCAAGAAATCACCGCTGGTGGAGCTCGGGGATGACATAGGATGCCGGGGATTTAACCCACGTGCGCCCCTTGCAAGAAAATCACTTTACTCCCTGTACTGTCCCTCTATGCCCAGCAGCATATGGAGTTTCCTGAGCCGCTCATGAACTCGTCACGGATTTCAGTAACACTAAGTGCATAATAAATCTGGAAATGGCCAAGGGTGGCAAGAGACCCTTATTTTTTAAGCTGAAAAATTTATCAGAAAGAGAGCACAGCAGGAGTTTCTCACAGACAATCCAGTTGCAATACCCGATATCACCTAGGGTCCCTCATGCCAGCCAGGAGTGATCCCTGAGTGCAGAGTCCAGGAGCAAACCCTAAGTCCTGCTGAAGTCTCACAAGAACCATTAGAAGTAAATCCAAGCACTGAAATAGGGCAGCGTCTAATGATTTCAGACGAGATATCAAATCCCCTGTGGTGGGAAAGATAGTACAGCACATAGGACAGAAGTGCTGCACACACATGTAGGTTTGATCCCAGGCAGCACATAAGATCTTTGAGTAAGGCCAGGTGTGGATCCTGAATACACAGGCAGGAATAATCCCTAATCCCTAAGGAAAAAAGAAAATGCAAAAACCGTCTGACTTGAGTGACTGGTGCAAAAGTACTGGGGGTGAGGTTTCAGTCCACGGTACCCCATGGCCCCTGAGACTCTTAGGAGTCATCCTTTAGCACAGAGCCAGGGGAACTGTGGACTGTGCCCCCCAAACAAAGGCAACAGAAAACCAATTAAACACACAAAATTTCGTGTAGTACACAAAGTAAATTGATGCACCAATGGATGGAACTATTTAAAGGGACCTGAGCGATAACTGGGCAGATAGGGTTCTTCCCATGGACACAGTCGAAACGGGTTGATAGGAATCACCCCATAGGATCTGGCGACCCTACAAGACTAATTCCTGAGGACAAGGCTGAGAGTAAGCCCTGAGTATCCACAGGTGAACCCTAAAAAAAAACGAGGGAGGGAAGAGCTACTGCACGGCGGTACAACATCCCAGCCTGTCACAGAGCTACTGTTGAACACACAGCTGCCTCCCAACCCCAGGGAGTCCACCCGGGTCTGTTCAGACACGGTTGGCTCCACAGGGCTCTCACCGACAACCTGTAGATGCTGGTAGGTCTCCAGCATCACGTCCCTGTAGAGCTTCTTCTGAGAGGCCGCCAGGCATGACCATTCCTCCGGGGTGAAATGCACAGCCACGTCCTGGAAGGTCACTGCGTCCTGAGTCAGCACACGGAGAGGGAGGAGTCAGATTCCATCTTAGCCTCATTGCCACTACTGTGAGGCCAGAAGCCAGGGTCCTATATTGCCGCTGGGCCTCTCCACTCCGAATGAACCAGCCTCCATGCACATGCATTGTTGACGGGCCCCAGAAATCACATAAGGCAGCTGGGTCTGCTAAAGTGGGAGGACGTTATACAGAAGGTTCTTGGATGTATCTAAATTTCCTGGTAAACCCAGGGCCAATTCGAGCACCACTGGTGCAGTGAGCACTGTAGAGAGGATCACTTGAACACAGACTTGTACTTTAGAAAAGACTATCGCTGAGTGTAGCAAAAACCACTGCACACTCACCGCTGCACCCCCAGAGCTCATGACCACTAGGATTGAGAACTTGGCAGTCCATATAGACAACTACTCACAGCGGTGCATGGCATGTGCACATGTAGGAACTAACTGCTCAGAACCACCCCAAATCCCGCTCAAAGAAGGTAGAAGTTTCTGGACCCCAACATCTCTACTGGCCTCAGAGATCCTTGGCTCTTTTTCATTGGGATTGGTGCATGCCCAGAAATCCACACACAAGATTATGTGAATGTAAGACTATATGACCGAGCAGGTAGTCTCTCCAACGCAGGAAGGACAAAACAGGGAAAAGCAAGTCTCGGGGCCCAAGTCACAGTAGTTGCCAGGGCGAAAACGGGGCCAGCACACCCCAGGGTGCTCTGAGGCCAGTAAGCTTTGAATCCAGAGCCCAGAGTCAAGAGGACAGCTCATGACAAAAACAATGCAAAAGAAACCGAAGCAGCAGTTTGGCTTAACAGGACAGCTGTTCCCGGGACAGCACGTAGGACTGGCGATCCCCAACATCCCATATGGTCCCACAAGCACTGCCAGGGGCAATGCCAGAGTGCAGCGCAAGGAGTGATAGCGAGAATCCTTGCTCTGTCACTCCAAATGAAACAGAAAACCCAAGATGAAGCCTTTGGACCTCCAGCATCCCATTGGTCACCTAGACCTGTCAGGAATCAGCATTGAGCACTGAGCTTTGAGTACTCCTCATGCACCACTGGGTCAGCCCCAAAGCTAAATAAAACTAAACAAGCATACACAAAAGCAGCTTCAAACAGCAGAATGGGATGGTCCAATCGAAGTCTCATCTTGGAATCCATCCAAAAGAAACTCAAAACAGAAGGCCCAGGAAG